TTTTGTACAATATAATCCCCCTGAACTCATTTTCAATGGGAAATCGGGGTATAATGGTTTTATTGAAATGTATGTAACAGGCAGAAGGAGGCGTGGAAGACCACTCCACCACAAAGTATATATATTCTTAATCAGGTCGACGAGCTGAGTCGATTTAGCCATGTCCGTCTGTCCGTCTGTCCGTATGAAGGGTTTTCTAAAGCAAACACGTAAGAACGTTGTAGTCGGCCGTTACCTCAGTAGTCGGTACTCATTCACACCCCATCAGCAATTTAGTATCTAAGTTTAGTTCTAATACCGATTTGCCTTACTTCTGGTCAGTTGTTAGAACGAGCTAACGCTAACCCAACTGCAAAATTTGAATGCTAACGCTGCAAAAATGTTAAAATTTCAGGGTGTTTTTCGGCATGCCACGTCCCTAAAGAGGCGTAAAAATTATTATTGGGTCATCGATAGAAGAGGTTACTTGTAACTTAACTATTTATTTATTTATTCAATTCGAGCTTCAGCTTTCAGCTTCCGGCTAATATACTTTAGGTTATATAATCTTTTGCAGTTTGCCACGCCCCCTGTGGGCGGTATATCTTTCGAAGCTTTTTGGGTGGTCAGCGCGAGTATATATACAAAATTTGAGGTCTCTAGCATCAATACTGTCCAAAATATAGCAAAATTTAAAAAAAACACTATATCTTCAGGTCCAATTTGCCACACCCCTAATGGGCGTAGACATATATTATTGTTAGTAGTCTTTATATAATTATAGCATTAGCTTACGTGCGAAATTTCAGCGTTCTAGCTGTAATACTCTTGGAGATACAGTTTCATCCGATTTGCCACGTCCCCAATGGGCGTAGATATATCCGCCATAGCTCGTGACCGTGGGTGGTCGATGCGGATTTACATTCCAAACTTCAGCTTTCTAGCTCTTCAACTAATATGATATCTGAGGCATCGAATATCGATATTCAAGTCTCTAGCTTCAATCACTAACCAGAGAGCTCTCTGGTTAGTGCTTATATGAAGGACAGCACCTGCAGCATTTTATAATTAGCAAAAATATTTGAGATGAAACACCGGAAACACAGGAAATACATCGAAATCTATATTAAAATTTAAACTCTGGCCCTAATTGCAAGCTAATGAGGGGACCGAAATGTATGGACCTTTTACGTATTAACAAATTTTTTAATGGCTATTGCGATTTTTTATTTTTCTATGTTATCAGTTCTAATCGCATTTTTATGTCATAGCATTTATGTTACTTAAATATAATTTAATCGATTTCTTGTTCAATTATTGCAGTCACTGTGCATATTATTTTTAATTTTGTTTTAACAATGGAGTGACCGCAAAAGTTCTTGATATTGTTGCTGTGGTATGTGGCACATGGTACATGGCGCATGGTACATGTCACATGCCACATGCCACATGCCACATGCCACATGCCACATGCCGCACATAGTGGCTTTATCTCAATGCCAGCTCATAAATAAAATGTGTTAGTTATTTTATCATCAACTGGCAGCGATTTTGCATCGCGGTTACTGCGGCCGCAGCAACAATTTTATTATTAATTTGAAGCTGTGAGCTTTTCCCTGTTTAACTGGGTGCATGCCTAATAAGCAAATGCAGCTGACTAGACGACGCTAATCAAATACGGAATTAACCGCACAATGGAGCGACAGTCAGCATCACCACGGTGAAGTGTGTCGCGGAAGCGGGAGAGCAAAGATAAAAAATCTCTGGAATTCAAAAGAATGCTTTCATTTTGTCTACTTTTCTTTAGATATGAATTGAAATAAAGCAACAAAGCGTAAAAGAGAAATGGAAGCTTGAGCTGGCCCCAAAAACCCCACAGCCAACGGTGAACTCGCATTTACCACCAGCAATGACTATAGCAGCGAATGCAGTAGCAATAGCAGCAGCAACAGAAGCATGAGCAGGAGCAGGAGCAGCTGCTTTTGAAATTGAAGTGGCTGCAGTGCAGCTGCAGGCGCTCGGCTTCTGGGAACTGCGATGCGTTAAGTTCCTGACTTTAAAATAATATACCCTTGTGTTTTTTTTTGTATGCTTTATTTGGTGTGCATGGCAGGTAAATTGTTTAAAATTAATGCGGTGCAGACAACGGTTAAAAATGCATGCATAATTTCCTCCTTTATTTTTTTTATTTAACTTAATTTTTTATGCTCTTAACGCATTTAACTAGCAAACGGCACACGGAACACAATGCGAATTCACTTGCCATGGCCATGGCACATTAATCCCAGATAAAAACCCACTTGACTATTAATGAAAATTAAACGATTTTCGAGTGGCCGCAGTTAAGAGAATATTATGGAAAATTAAATCGCGGGCACATGCAAATGAGACGGCAGCAAATACTCATTAATACATAATCAGCGTTGTAAAGAATTGATAGATCGTACGACTCAACATACCATAAAACATTATATATACATATAT